ATTGATTTTCAGATTATAATATTATTTGTTTAGCGGTAGATTTTTTTAATATTCCTACCAATATTTATTATTTCATTAAAATGAAAAAGGTCTCATCTTGTATAACATCTTTCAGGTAATCAAGCTATGTTTTGTTGGTTTAATGATTGTTTCATTGCTATGAAATATTTGTACTTCATCTGATAAGCGACACAAATTCCTTTAGAAAATGTCCTTCAATTATTACACAACGGCTCTTCTAACTTCCCCAAGGGCTATTGATTTTTACCGTCAAAACCTGCACGTGCAAAAACGTTTAAGTGCTGCCGACTAAATTCCAATCCGGGACAAACCTCTTGTTGGGATCTCACACACACACACACACACACACACACACACACACACACACACACACACACACACACACACACACACACACACACACACACACACACACAGCTTCCTTCTCTTGTCGCTATCTGATCCTGCCTAGAACGGTTGAATGAAAAAACCGTCAGTGACACAGGGCTGATGGGGTGCCGCTCCCCAGCAGCTCAATAATGATGAGATAGATGTATGACAGCCCCTCACAGGAGAGTGTCAGCCTATTTGTCTTTCTGTCTGCCCAGAGAGATGGATGACCCTTCAACCCTGCGCCGGGAGGAAATCTTCAGGGCTGCCATGACGCGAGAAGCCCATCATCATCCCTCACTCTCATGCCGGTCACCCTTCACAACTTGTTTAGACTGAATTAGGGTTCTGACGTCTGGAAGTTATGAACTTTCAATTATTCATCAAGAAGGAAGGGCAAACCTGAACATTTACAAAGACACATGGATTTTTTTATTAAATCATTACATTTACCAAACTGGTAAGCTTTTTAAAATACATATCTAATGAATTGTAGAAAAGCCATGTAATGTTTTATTCTCTTTTTTCCTAATGCGTTTTTTCATGATTTTCAATCTCACAATAAGTTTGCTTGGCAGAAAACCTTTTTGTATGCTTCTTAAGAAATAAGACTCCACATTGCACTAAGAAGACCTCAATGGCCAACTAAAGGCTTGTGTTTTCTCCCTTATGTCTTGATTGAATTGAAAAGAAATAGAGTGATAAAAAGCTTAATTTACCATTTAAATAAACCTTTTTTTTAGGATTTTATTCATGACTTTTGGTACCGTTGTATCATTGTATTATACATAATACACAAGCAAAGTGGAATTATTAATTGACAAGTTAAATTAACATTTCATAATTTTTTGTAACAGTAGCATCACAAAATCTGCTCTGAATTTAATTTCCCACTTTCTATTTTGCTTTATACATCTTAATTTTGTTAAGGGAAAATCAAATCGAGAAAATAATCAGTAAAGATTAATTACAGAGCAAATATATTTAGACACATCCTCTCACACACACACACACACACACACAGGTCTCTGGGGAGCAGAGGTCAGTCATAGCTGGGACGCGGAGGCCAGGGCAGAGGACGGCCGGAAAATTGGAGGAAATAATTATCTCCATACATCTCAGTTCGTCATTTCCCTGGGGGATACACGGCTAATGTTCCCAGCCTCCTTTTCCCAAGCTTACATCAGCTGTATAGCCTTCTTATAGCGAGCAGGTGAAATTCACCTTCATAAAAAAAGAAAAAAAAGAATAATTCACTCCTCCTCAACTTTCCACATGTGCAGCTTTTGTCACTACAAGGCTCAAACTCTGAGACAGTCATGTGATCGACTTCAAGGACGTGAATGCAGATCCTCGTTTGTTTCGGGCTCCTTTATGGCGCAGTGCACTGTGAAGACTCCCTCAGTTACCTTGGAAACAGCAGGTTATGCCGCGGAGTCCAGAGAAGGTGCGAATTGAGTTTGTTGATGCAACAGTTGCTAATGAGAAAATAAGGATGGGTACTTTTTATTGTTAGCTCTCTGGAGCCTTAAAAGGTC